GGACCATAGGATACATGCTAGTAACTGTATATGCTTGTTTATGACTATTGGCTGTGCTTATCTCTATCTGTCGTAACTGTTCCCTTCACCTGTGAATTGTGCATGCTTTGTTATGACTGTTGGTTGTGCTTACCCCTATCTGTCGAGTCTATTCCCTATTTTGAAAGCTAGAGTCTCTTAGGATATATCTTCATGCTTCGAAATGGTTTTTCGTATATCTATGTATATATCTATATGTATTGTATTTCAACGCGTTGGAGTGGGTTACCAGCATCTCTCGCTGAACAGATATATTTGGCTTTCAGGAACAGAGGAGTAGACACTGGAGCGCGCTAGAGTCTTGGAGCATAGAAGTAGATAGTTTCCCTTTCGGCCTGCGTGCCATGCTTATGCTTTTATCTTTTTGAGGATATTAGTTAGTTAGCCTGTGCACCTGAGTTCTCTAGCTCAGGTGTGGCATAGCACCCCGTACTCTTTATATTATGTTTTGGGATTTAATGAGAATTTACCTTTATTATATAAGTCTTAAAAGTTGAAAAATTTCGGGGTGTTACAACCGCAGCCCAAGAGTGTAATTCTGACGGCAACCAGCTTCTGAACCGCAGCTCAGGAATAACCAATTTGATTGCAACCAAATTGGGGTATCACGCACACATAACACATAGCAAGCACATGCAACCTCACATTAACACATTGGGGAAATGGAGAAAAACGTATAATGAAACCTATGCGTGGTCATCCACATACTTGGATTAATCCTAAGGGGTTCATACTTCTTCCACCTAGGCCAACCGGATACCAATTCGACTAGCATGCAATATATAAGACTCATTTATCCTACGAACGGTACCCGAAACATCGACTAGACTTAGGCACGATAAACGGAGTCCATTGGGACACCACGAGGGTCGGGGAAACATTAAACGGGGAAGCCAAAGTCCCAAGTTGCGCAAGTTCCAGCGGGTAGCCGGTGGGTGGAGAATCACCCGCTGGCGATAAACCTCCGGGCAGCGGGTGCCCGGCGGGCAGTCGTCTGCTCGCCCGCTGCCCGCTGCCGGTGGCGTCGTATTTCGGGCAGCGGGTAGGTGGCGGGTCCCCCTACCCCCCACTGACTCTTTATCAAAATAATCGTCCCGGGATCCTTCGTGGAACCCGAAACCATGCTTAGACGCTTTTAAACGTAATTGGTGACAGCACGTAGACAATTAACGGATCAAAAGCAAGAATCATATAACACACATCCTATCATGATTTTTAAGTATAATCAACCCCCGAACATGCGAATTCCCACCCAAATATATCAAGAATATCACAATACGAATTTCACGATTCATCCTATGGCTCTAATCATATTTAAACCATCAATATCATAGTTCATCTTTTAACATCAAGAAACATCAAGATTTATCAAGAACATCACATAATTACCAAGAACCTCTTATCATCATCAAGATCCCACATAAAATCATCTCACCAATTATCAAGATCATATCATCAATACCATAAACGATTCATCGAGACACAAGCATAGAGAAGAAACCAAGGAAGGAGATTATAGCAAAGAAAATAGGTTTTGTTAAGACATGGGTTACCTCTTAGCCTTAATTAATTTCCTTGGCTATGAAGGGTCTTTCTTTAAGATTTCTCCTTTATTAATTTCTCCTAAGGGAATTCTTGAAACTTCTTGTGTGGTGAGAGATTATTTGTGGTGTGAGTTCTAGGTGCCTCCTATGCCCCCTATTTATATACCTAAGAGTCCCAATTAGGGTCTAAATACTATGGGCTTGCTAATTCTATTCCTTATAGGACTAAGGAGTTGGTTTTAGGGGTGAGGGTCCATGGATTATGGTGGACCCTTTCTTAGTTGATTAATGGGTTTTAATTCTCTTTTACGGTAAGTGATTAAATAATTAGTTAGGGTTAGGGGTCGCAACACGGGGTGTTACAACGTGGGTCGGGGAAACATTAAACGGGGAAGCCGAAGTCCCAAGTTGAGCAAGTTCCAGCGGGTAGCCGGTGGGTGGAGGATCACTCGCCGGCTGCCCGCGGCGATAAACCTCCGGGCAGCGGAGGCCCTGCGGGTAGTCGTCTGCCCGCCGGCTGCCCGCTGCCGGTGGCGTCGTATTTCGGGCAACGGGTAGGTGGCGGGTCCCCTACCCCCACCTATCCCCCACTGACTCTTTATCAAAATAAAGGTCCCGGGATCTTTCGTGGAACCCGAAACCATGCTTAGACGCTTTTAAACGTAATTGGTGACACCACGTAGACAATTAACGGATCAATAGCAAGAATCATATAACACACATCTTATCATGATTTCTAAGTATAATCAACCCCGAATATGCGAATTCCCACCCAAATATATCAAGAATATCACAATACGAATTTCACGATTCATCCTAGGGCTCTAATCATATTTAAATCATCAAGATCATAGTTCATCTTTTAACATCAAGAAACATCAAGATTTATCAAGAACATCACATAATCATCAAGAACCTCTTATCATCATCAAGATCATCAAGATCCCACATAAAATCATTTCACCAATTATCAAGATTATATCATCAATACCATAAACGATTCATCGAGACACAAGCATAGAGAAGAAGCCAAGGAAGGAGATTATAACAAAGAAAATAGGTTTTGTTAAGACATGGGTTACCTCTTAGCCTTAATTAATTTCCTTGGCTATGAAGGGTATTTCTTTAAGATTTCTCCTTTCTTGATTTCTCCTAAGGGAATTCTTGGAACTTCTTGTGTGGTGAGAGATTATTTGTGGTGTGAGTTCTAGGTGCCTCCTATTCCCCCTATTTATATACCTAAGAGTCCCAATTGGGGTCTAAATACTATTGGCTTGCTAATTCTATTCCTTATAGGACTAAGGAGTTGGTTTTAGGGGTGAGGGTCCATGGATTATGGTGGACCCTTTCTTAGTTGATTAATGGGTTTTAATTCTCTTTTAGGGTAAGTGATTAAATAATTAGTTAGGGTTAGGGGGTCTTAACACGAGGTGTTACAGTAATACTAAAGATGATGCATTTACTAGCACCACACCTCTCGTCGAGCCACAACGAGAGTATTCCATTGCTATGGATCGTCCTAGGAGGACAATTAAAAAACCTACTAGGTATGCTAGTGATGATGAAACCAACATGGTTTCTTATGCTCTTTCAGTCGCACAGGAAGTTGATGGTGATCCATCCCACTATTCTAAGGCTCTTCCTGTTGCTAAGTTCAAGTAGTGTTTGAGTTTAGTCGGCTGTTCCAATTATTAATTCCTACAGTGGATTTGATTCAAGGTGGAGATTGTTAGAAAAATAATATATTTTGTACGTGCCACAAATCCACAACAGTCCACATCGCATGCATCATTGTGTAGTTTCTTGCACGTACGTCGAGTGTTGCGGTTCTTCACATAATTGCCGCAATTACCTCCTCTCTTGCACGTCTTCAATTTTCATTCCGCATTTATTGCTCTTTTTCTTTTGTATAAACATGGTTGCAGTAGGCGCTAGGCGCTAGTCGGGCGCCCGAGCAGCGCCTAGCTCTTAAGCGGCCTAGGAGGAATCTAGGCAGCGCTAGGCGGGAGCCAAAAAAATAGTGGCAGACTTGCTGTTTGACAATTTTAATGAGGATGTTTTCAATATTAAATCAAATAACACATCCAAATAAATGAAATAATGATAATTCATAAGTCATAACATCAAAACAATATTAAAAATTAAAAATACTCAAAATACTTCTGTAATTTTGCATTTCCCCAGTTTAAGATAATTATTAGAGATAAGCAACTGGTGTATAGGACTGACTGATACGGAGACGTGAATTTTCAGTCAGACAGATAGATTGCAGATTAGTTTGTCGAGGAAAAACTACAGCAGATAATGAAACAACACATACGATGTTTACCCAGTTCGATACAATGTGTATCTACATCTGGGGGACGATCACCGAGACGTCCAATCCACTATCTCAAAATCCAATGTACAAAGGTAGAGAAACAAGAATCTCACCCAAGTGCCCTACACAAGGTACGTACCTAGTCTACAAAGGTTTAGTGGATTGTTGAAGACGGAGAGCCACGCATGCAGAAGTCCAACGAAATCCCTTCGATTGGAGAGCTAACTCTGATGCAGTCCGCTTTAATGATGCAGTCCCAAGTTGTTTCCACAACTGAGTGATCTTCGCGTCCTTTCGTTTAAGCAACAATAGTTCTTCTCAAGTTCTTCATCATAATCACCAAGAACATATATTCTTGAGAAGAGGCATGATAATCAAAGATATGATCCTCTGTATATCAAGGAGTGTTTCTGTCTTCTTAAAAACGTAACCATAATTCATGACCGAATGAGGGTACTTTTATATCCTTGGTAAGAACACTCTCGAAAAATATCTTTGATTGTAGATGGTAGGACAATTTGTGAAGAATGCAATCTTAAAGATTCGGTCCATACCTTCCAAAATAGATCCACGGATTTTCTTTCCAAAACTGTCTTCTCAAACCACGTTCAGCATTTTGGAAACATCTTCCTTTATCAGATCTTCAGTGTCAGTGCGTCTGTTGATGAACCTGATCAATCAGTCTTCTGAATAATAAACAGACACAAAGCTAAACCCTATCTTAGTTTGCCATAATAATATTGCCAATTATATGTTGGGGTTTTTTGGAGAAAATAAAAACACTAACAAACTCCCCCTTTGACTATTATTTGGCAAAACAACTCGACTAAGATAAATCAGAACTGAAGGGATAAAAAGGAAGACAAAAATTGATAGCTGTCTCATAAAAGACATAAGTCTAAAACACAACCCATAAGAGAAATAATAGCACACAAGTCGTGCTGGACAAAAACAAGTAATATTCTCCACAAAGCATGGGGCCATCACAAACACATGCCCAGACAGGGCCAGAAGATACGAAGTCCTACAAAAACACACAAAAACTACCCCAGAGTTTAGGCACTCTCCCTTTTTGCCAAAGATAGACAAAGGAACATTTAAGCATTCGAGGGACCTTCACTATCAGACTTCACATTCTCAGCAGCAGCAAACTCAGTCAAGCTTAGACGAAGGAGAACAGTCGCAAGTTCAGTACGGGCTGCATTAAGTTGCTTCACGATAATGCCATTAACAGTTTCAAGCTCAGACACCCGAGCCTTCAGACGGAGAAAGAGCTGAACATCCTTCGCATGGGGCGAGTCATCAACAGGAGTGTCAGCATCAGATGATGGAAGAGCATTAACAGGTGTAACATCTAGGATGTGCTTGTCATTCAAGAGGCATGGATCAACAATATATAGCAGAGTTGGACTAATAATCTCACTTGGCATTGGTACTAGGCCATGCGTCGTCAGAACTCCAAAAATGAGATTAGGATAAGGCAGTCTTACCTTTTGTTCCCTTGGATGAATCAATGTGAGGAAATGATAGAAGATCCACTTCCCCAGATCAATGGACATTTTGGTGCCAATACGGAACAGGAGAGCAGCCAGTTGCTTGCTAACCGTATGAAAATGGGCAGAAGGGAGCCAATTGTGCAAGGCAATACGGTGCAGAATAACATATTTGGAGGTAAGCTTCGAGCTAGACAGATTGTCAATATCACCTGTAGGCCATATAGGAGTTTGACCACCAGTGAGAGTCCTTGCAACCAAATCCCAGCCCGTAATCTCTTCTTCATCAACAGCCTTCAAGCCATAGTATTCATTAATCATGTCTGGACCAAAAACATACCACTTTCCTCTGATGAAAATCTGCATGCACCGGGTCCCCGTAAGGTTGTCAATTTCTTCATTAAGATTGCAGTAGAATTCGTAGGTCAGCAGCTTCGAGTAGGGGAAAATGGAGGTGACAGTTTTCATGAGGACAACCTCACTCAGCAGGGGTAAAATATCACAGACAGAGTTCAACTGATTCTCATCAACCGACCTCTGAACTATAAGCTCTCGTCGTACCATCGTAGACCACTTTCCCTGAGTTGTAGCAGAAACAAACTGAGGTTTGTAAATGGTGGTGTCAGGATTGTCTGAAGTAGCTTGGACATCAGGAGTGACACTCCTACCTCTTGACCTTGTAGTGGGTTTCATCTTTCTGGTAGAAGTGGTGGAAACCGTAGCAGGGGCCTTGTTCTTGACAGACGATCTCAAAGTTTTAAACACTTGTTGAACAGGTGGGTCACTTTCAACCTTTACTGATTTAGCAGATCGTCGTCTTTTCTCAGGTTGAATAGTATCAAGATTATCATCACCGATTACAACGGCTACTCTGTCAGGGACACCTTTGTATTTAGATTTTCTTGTTTCTCTGGCTGGAGAATGATCAGTTGGGCTTGGTGAAGCTGAGTGGCTTGTTTCAGACACAGGAGCAGACGAAGAGCCAAGAAGTTTGGAGACTTCTCTAATTTTGAATGTTGTCGAGTCTGGTTATTGCTATAATCTGCAAGCGCACAGAGTCAATCACAGTATAAATTCCTAGAGTATTCCAGGGTCGATCCCACGAAGAACACTATTAACTGTTATCTTTAATAATCAAATTGTTGATAAGGCAAATCTCAAATAATATATAATTAATGTGATTAAAAAGAATATTTATGAACTTAATTTAAAGAAAATTCCAATTGAGAGAAGACTAGGGATTTGGGTTCACCTATTAGATAATTAACTAATTCTCCTAAGTATTAATTCTTATGACTATAGTGACGATTGTTTCAAATATATCCTAATACTCCGTCGAGCTACTAGGTTGTATCCAATTAACTGTGATCATCCGTCGATATCTCACCAACATTAATTAAACCCATTAAGCAACAATCAAATATCACCACAAATACCTAAAGCTATGTCTAGTTTAGGTCAATTGTGTTTATCTTACGAGTTCTAGGTTCATAATTCACCTGTCAGTTCTTCTTATGAACCCTAATATTTGAATTATGCAATGGCCAGTCACACAATCTACAATTAAAATACATAAAATAAATATAATCAAGTTCAATTATTAAACTGAAATTGGAAGAATCAACACATGAAAAATATAGTCAATTAATCTAATACAGGCTAATCTAAATCCCTAATTAAAGTTCTAGCCAAGAATCACAATTAAATGCATCAATTATTCAATAAATAGTATTCTGGAAATTTAAACAAGAATAAAGATAGAGATGAAGGAAAATAATTCAAGCCTAAGAAGAAGATAGCCGCGATTGAAGCTCAAAAATTCCTTGCGATAGAGTCTTGAATCTCTTCGCCGAACTGCTACTGTGCTCCCTGGCTTCCTTTTTTTTCCTTCGCTATTTTCTCTTCTTCCGTTCTGCCGTCACTCCCAAAAGACCAAAAACCCCCCAAAAGCAACGCCTTTTCTTTCCCTTATATTGCTGCGCCAATCCAATAAAGAAAACAAAGAAAACTAATTTTAAAAGCCAAACAACCCTAACCTAATCACAACTTAATAACACTTAATTATTAAAAACACTATTTAAAAAATCAAAGATATAAAATTACTAAGTAAATTTAATTTAATACTATAGATAAAATAACTCTTATTAATATTAATAAAAATGCAACATTAGCCTAATACTTATTAAAATCAATCTAAACTAGTAACATATAAATAATATAATATTTATTATAAAACCAACTCTAAAACTTAATTTATTTATGAAAATAACGGACTAAAATTACTCTAAATAATGCCTAGAAATTAAGCTTATCAAACTTCCCCACACTCAGGGTTTTGCTTGTCCCCAAGCAAACTTATGCAATGAAATAAAACTACCAACCATAACCATGTTAACTAGGCATTCATTTCATGGGAATTGGTGAACACATAATACTTCGTGAGAGTTCAAAGTCATATGCACACAAGACAAAAGAGAATAGTAGTCTTCACGGTTGTTCACTCAATCTCTCACAAATATATGTATAAGAAAGGTACACACCATTCTCTATCGAGAGCGCACTTGCCATAGGCTTGCTTGTCCACCAAAACTCCACTACCAAAATTATATGAAAAACACGAGTCAAAAGATCTTTATTTCTGGGTTGTAATGGGGCCAAGGGTATGTGGTTTATAAAAGAAAGGATATAAGGAAATACAAAGAAAGTCCAAGGAATCAGTAGAGCCATAATTTCACCATATCAAGAGCAAGAAACTGTATTCTACCAATGCAATGAACTCTACCAAAACAAGCCTCACTTCTACTTCATTCTCCCTCATCCTTTTCACTGATAAATTCCCAAAACAACTTCAAAATCTCATTTTTCATTTTTTTCCTGTTTTTTTTTTCATTTTTTTGTTGTTTTTTTCTGATAAAACCGAATAAATTGCTTTCCATTTCCACACAACCCTCAATGGTACTCTTCCCATAATCATCAAATTTCTATCATGTCTTCATTGCTCATAAATCATTTTAAGAATAAAATGAGCACAAAAGTTTGGGCCAACAATTTTTTTCAACCCACAAATTATAACATATCATTTTGTTCTTTTTTTTCATTTTCACCCCCTTTGATCACAAACAATTCTTCACTCAAAGAAAACCAATTGTACAATCACCTTTCAACTCCAATCTCACTCATACTTCATCACTTTTTGTCATCTTGCACAGATAAATGAAATAATGACTTCTACTGACTCAAGGACGGGTTTAGAGGCTTCTTTTTATGAGCTAAGGTTCTTTGGAACTGGCTAATGAAGAGAAATGTCTTACATTTATTTATAATAAATCTCAAAATGGTTAACTAGGGGAAAAATAACATGTATAAGGATGTGGGCATTTTTAAGGCCATAAGGCTAAATCCTAATGCCTAAATCATTCTCGTGTCATCATATAACATGTAGCTCTGAAATGGTATGAAGCAAGTTCTAGAAGTAACACAATCAAAGAGGGCACATAAACACTCAAAATGAAAATAAGTTGCAGTGGGCAACCTCTAGGCTCAACAGCTCACGGTGTGACAGAATTTGACTACCAACTCTATGCAAGCATACATATAGCCAAACACATTCATTGATATTATGCACTCCCAAAACACTAGAACTTATCTCCCAATCAACATAGTCATTAGATGGCATTTTTTAAAAATTTATTTGCTAAGAAATTGCAGAAAAATGAAGGAAAAGATGCTAAAAATCCATAAAAATGCAGAAAATGCAGAATTTTTTTTTTGCTGAAAATTTTGCAGAAAATTATAGGAAAGTGCATAAAATAATTGCAGTAAAATGCATAAAGGAAAATGAAGAAGTGCTGAAAATTTTGCAGAAAATTACAGGAAAGTGCAGAAAATAATTGCAGCAAAATGCATAAAGAAAAATGAAGAAAACATCCCCTAAATTTACTTTCCCTTCCCCACACTCAAACTCAACATTGTCCTCAATGTTAAATATAAAAGCAGGTATGAGAAAATGAAATAAATAGGAAACTTCCATGTTAGTTGCCACTTTCTTCCGGGACTGCCTTTTGGTGAAGTAACTATAAATGGTCTCTTTTTATATCCTTCAATCTCTATGGCCTCATAAGAACGAACTTTAGGGACATTGGAAGGACAAAACCATCTAGACTTCAATTTCCCTGGAGAAAGCTTAAGACAAGAGCTAGACAACAAAACTTCTTGCTACACTTTGAATTCTCTCCAAAAATTATTTTTGTCATGCCAAGTTTTAGTCAATGTTCTCCATAGTCTCTCTTCTTTTGCATGAAGTAAATGAGCATAAGAAAGCATAAGGAAAGTCTCATTGTCACTCAAAAAAATTGTATTTCAACTGCAATGGAAGTGGTTTAAGTTCAAGTTGATGTGGTGTTTCACTAGGTGAATGCTTAACAAATACTTCTTTTGAAGGTTTCACAATAACATCAACAAAAAGACATGATTCATCAAAAGTAGGCAATTTTATAGCTTTAGAGATAGAGAATTCTTCTTTTTCTGTTCCTACTCTAAAAATCAATTTCCCTGATGACATATCAATTAATACTCCTCTTGTCAACAAAAATGGCCTACCAAGTATAAGAGATGTATCTGTGTCACTACCCATATCAAGAATCAGAAAATCAGCAGGAAAATAAAATTTACCAACTTTTACCAAGATATCCTCCACTACTCCAAGCGGGTACTTGACTGATCTATCAGCAAGTTGAAGAGAGATTGTTGTTGGCTTCATTTCAGCTATTTCCAACTTCTTAAAAAGAGTTAAAGGCATAAGGTTAATACTAGCACCTAGATCACATAAACATTTATCAATAACAGTATTACCAATAGTGCAAGGAATAGAAAAACTTCCTGGATCCATTAGCTTAGGAGGTAATTTGCTTTGTAGAATAGCACTACACTCCTCATTTAGGTGCACAGTAGCAAACTCTTCCAATTTCTTTTTATTAGACACAATTTCCTTAATGTACTTGGCATAAGATGGCATATTAGCAAGTGCTTCTACAAAAGGAATATTAATTTGCAATTTTTTAAAAATCTCCAAAAATCTTTTAAAGTTATTGTCCTGGTTCCTCTTTTGTACCCTTTGTGGATATGGAATGGGGGGTACATAAGGTTTTACTGTAGAGGAAGTGAGGTTTTGATCACTAGAATTCTCTTTAGGCACTTGCTCCTCTTCTTCTTTATCACTCTCTTTTTCAACACTCATGGGTTCTTTTTCTTTCAAAGTTTCATTCAACATCTTACCACTTCTCAAGGTGACAGCCATAGCTCCTTCCCTAGGGTTTAATTCAGTGGTACTAGGAAACTTACCTCGATCTTTTTCTACAACCAATTTAGCCAACTGACCTACTTGCACTTCTAAATTATGAATGGATGCTTGACTGGATTGAGCAAACTTATCAATTTTTGCATCCATTTTCTTCATCATAGTGTCCTGGCTAGCCATGTATTGCATGAACATATCCTCCAATTGAGGCTTCTTCTCCTAAGCAGGAAGTTGAGACTGTTGTGGTGCAGGTGGATGCTGGAAAGGTCTGTATTGCTGATGCTGGAATCCTGATGGTCCTTGTTGCTGGAACCCAGGTGGTCCCATTGGTCTTGCACTACCTTGATCTCTCCATGAGAAGTTAGGATGGTTTCGCCAACCTGGATTATATGTATTAGAAAATGGATCATTTCTTGGTGGTTGCCTACCCATGTTGGATCCCATGTAATTAGCTTCCTCATAAGATGGTTGTGATGACTCTGTATTCATACAAACAGAAGAATTATGACCATATGTATTGCAAAAAGCACAAAATTCTCTATTTGAACTATCACGAGTCATTAACAAGTTAATCTGTTTAGTCAATTCAGCCATTTGTGTTGTCAACTCAGATTGTGAGCTAATTTCATGCACAGTAGCTCTTCGACCTCTCACTGCCTTTTGTCGAGAATTAGTAGCTAAGCTCTCATAGATAGCTTTTAATTCATCACTATTTTTATCACCTGTGTATCCACCTGCAGCAGTATCTACAAGAGACTGACAATTAGGAGTTAAAACTTCATAAAAGAATTGTGTCAACAATAACAATGGGAATTGATGGTGTGGACATTGTGTCAAAAGCAATTTAAAACGATCCCATGCTTCATGAAATAACTCAGTCTCTCTTTGAGTAAAAGTGCATATCCTACTCCTATAGTCCATTGTCTTCTGAGGTGAATAATATTTAAACATGAAAGCATTGTAAACATCATCCCAAGCTCTTAAAGAACCCTCTGGTAAATTTAACAACCACTGCCTAGCATCACCCCTCATGCAATATGGGAAACATTTCATTCTAAGTTCTTCCTCAGATAAATTATTCAAAGGTAAAGTTTGTACCGTACTATAGAGCTCTCGCATGAAACCCAAAGCATCTTCACTTCCCAAACCGTTAAAGGTCGGTAGCATATTCAGATGGAAAGTCTTGAGTTTATAATTTCTAGCTACATCAGATAATTGAATGCAAGAAGGGTTAACAGCTATTACCGGTCTTTGGATGTCTCGAAGACGTGGTTGAGCTGCTTGATTTTGAGGAGGTGGAACTATTGGTGGTACGGGGTCATCCAGTTGACCCACTCTATTGTTTTCAGCCATTTCAAGCCGCCTTCGTACCCTGTTTTTTCTGCAAGTACGCTCAATTTCGAGATCAATCAGAAATAACTCAGTATTTTTATGCCTCAGTGATAGTCTTAAGTTCATAAACAAACAAAATAAAAATAGAAAAGATAAATAAAAATAAAATGATAATGGACCTAACCACAAAAATAAATTTAAAAAGAAAAATTTAAGAAAACAGTTTAACAAAATGTTCCCCGGCAACGGCGCCAAAAACTTGATTGCTATAATCTGCAAGCGCACAGAGTCAATCAGAGTATAAATTCCTGGAGTATTCCAGGGTCGATCCCACGAAGAACACTATTAACTGTTATCTTTAATAATCAAATTGTTGATAAGGCAAATCTCAAATAATATATAATTAATGTGATTAAAAAGAATATTTATGAACTTAATTTAAAGAAAATTCCAATTGAGAGAAGACTAGGGATTTGGGTTCACCTATTAGATAATTAACTAACTCTCCTATGTATTAATTCTTATGACTATAGTAACGATTGCTTCAAATATATCCTAATACTCCGTCGAGCTACTAGGTTGTATCCAATTAACTGTGATCACCCGTCGATATCTCACCAACATTAATTAAACCCATTAAGCAACAATCAAATATCACCACAAATACCTAAAGCTATGTCTAGTTTAGGTCAATTGTGTTTATCTTACGAGTTCTAGGTTCATAATTCACCTGTCAGTTCTTCTTATGAACCCTAATATTTGAATTATGCAATGGCCAGTCACACAATCTACAATTAAAATACATAAAATAAATATAATCAAGTTCAATTATTAAACTGAAATTGGAAGAATCAACACATGAAAAATAGTCAATTAATCAAATACAGGCTAATCCAAATCCCTAATTAAAGTTCTAGCCAAGAATCATAATTAAATGCATCAATTGTTCAATAAATAGTATTCTGGAAATTTAAACAAGAATAAAGATAGAGATGAAGGAAAATAATTCAAGCCTAAGAAGAAGATAGCCGCGATTGAAGCTCGAAAATTCCTTGCGATGGAGTCTTGAATCTCTTCGCCGAACTGCTACTGTGCTCCCTGGCTTCCTTTTTTTCCCTTCGCTATTTTCTCTTCTTCCGTTCTGCCGTCACTCCCAAAAAAAACCAAAAACCCCCCAAAAGCAACGCCTTTTCTTTCCCTTATATTGCTGCGCCAATCCAATAAAGAAAACAAAGAAAACTAATTTTAAAAGCCAAACAACCCTAACCTAATCACAACTTAATAACACTTAATTATTAAAAACACTATTTAAAAAAATCAAAGATATAAAATTACTAAGTAAATTTAATTTAATACTATAGATAAAATGACTCTTATTAATATTAATAAAAATGCAACATTAGCCTAATACTTATTAAAATCAATCTAAACTAGTAACATATAAATAATATAATATTTATTATAAAACCAACTCTAAAACTTAATTTATTTATGAAAATAACGGACTAAAATTACTCTAAATAATGCCTAGAAATTAAGCTTATCATCTGGATGTGCTGTCGCTTCCACTGTAAGAGGTCTAGACAACGGGGCTTGTGGACTATACACTTCAGCCAGTATTTTCTCATCATCACTGTCTATCTGCACAGAGGGATCATCAGGATGAATAACTCTATATGGTTCAGGTACAGAAGCAGAAGGTAAACCCGCAAAGTGTCGGATGTGGTCAAGGCTCTCAGCCAAGGTAGAGGATGTATAAACTGGAACTCCATCAATCGGATCAGAGGGACGAGGGCTTGAAGGTTTGGCAGCCTCAATTTCAGTAGGCAACATAAGAGAAACATCAACCGGGCAAACTTCAACCGGTAACTCAGTAGCATCAGATACAGGCACAACAGAAATTGCAGATTGCGCAATATCAGCAGAGTATACAACCAGACTCAAAATTTCTACCTTATCAGATTGGTTAACTTTTTCTTCAGAATCACTGTTAAGGGCAACTTTTGTAGACTCAATTTTTTCAGAAGATAAACGATTAGGATCATCAGACACAGAAGATTTCATAGACAGTAAAGCATTCTCATTATCAGATTGTGCAACAGGCAGAACAGATTCAATATCATCAGAAATTAAATTATCGGGCTTATCAGGAGAAATCTCAATAGGGGTTTCAGAAGTATTAGACCTGTTACGAAGAATCTCAAGACGGTGTTTGGCTTCGTCCTGTGCAGCTTGAAGATAGAGAGGTTGAGCTGCTAACCGTCGTCGCGAGACTTCTTCGGATTCCAGACCCCTTTGGGAGAAATATTGGAGGAAAGCCCCATCACGGTTTCCATCTTCAGGCTCAGGAATGGACGCATGGCTAACATCATCACTCGCTTCAGAGGCCAACATCAAAAGATCACTTGTATCATCATCGAACCAGTCCGCATAGAACTCCGGGTAGTCTGAAAGCACTGTGACTATGAATTCGTCGCGGAGAACAGAGTCAAGCTTCAACTTCATTTTCATAGCGAGTTGGAGAAGAATTTTTACATGTTTCGTGGCTGTTTCTGGTGAGAGGATTTTCCTTCCCAGCTTGATGATAATATTTCTCACTGCATCCGCCATTGTTGTGCGATTTGGGAAAGAGAAGAGAGAAACCCTAGGTGGAGAATCAGTAAGCAAATAACAGAGAGCAAAGTAGTATTTAGAACTCTTCTTCCAAAAAAAACCCGATCAAGTATATAATCCCAAGGGTGATGAACACTATTTAATGTGGCTGTCAGAATGCATGCAGCTGATGTGATTGACGCAATGGTATAGCTCCTTTTTAGGGATTAAACGGATGATTTGAATTTTGAAAGAGCCGAATTAATTTTGGTAACCAAGGTTAAGATATTATCTTAACTTAAACAGAAGAGAGATTAAAAAGGAAGTCAAATATGTAATTTTAACCCGTGATTGAGACCACCATACACTCTCCTTCTGTGTTATTATTCTGCCTTATTGATCAATCCTGCAAATTCCCAGAGCAGATTTGAGAATCTCAAACCAATTTGCGTCCAGAGGCTTAGTCAGTATGTCAGCCAATTGCTTATCTGTTTGAATATATTCCAATTCTATCTCCTTTGATTCTGCCAAGTCTCTGATAATAGTGATGCCTTATATCAATATGCTTCGTTCTGGAGTGTTGAACTGGGTTCTTTGAAATATTTATTGCACTGGCATTGTCACAGTAGAGTGTCATAGTCCTTTGTGTGAGACCATAATCTAGAAGCATTTGCTTCATCCAGACCAACTGAGTGCAACATCCTCCAGCTGCTATATATTCTGCCTCTGCAGTACTTAGAGAGATTGAATTATGTTTCTTGCTTAGCCATGAGACTAAATTCGTTCCAACAAAGAAGCATCCACCTGATGTACTCTTTCTGTCATCAATATTTCCTACCCAATCAGCATCACAATATGTACTCAGGCTTAGTTCACTGTCCTTGGAATACCATAACCCATACTGAATTGTACCCTTGATGTATTTCAAGATCCGTTTAGCAGCTATCAAATGTGACTCTTTGGGATCAGATTGATATCTTGCACACATCCCAACACTGAACATAATATCTGGTCGACTTGCGATCAAATAGAGCAGACTTCCAATTGGGCTTCGATAGACTGTGTTGTCAACTGATGCACCAGTATCATCTTTTGATACCTTTGTGGAAGTGGAGATAGGAGTTCTGGGAGTTTTACATGACTCCAGATCGAACTTTTTGACCAAATTCTTGGCATACTTTTCTTGTGAGATAAAGTAGCCTTCAGTACTCTGTTTAACTTGAAGTCCTAAAAAATAAGTCAGTTGACCCACCATGGACATTTCAAATTCTTCCTTCATAAACTTCACTAAGTCATCAGTATATTTCTGTAGAGTAGATCCAAAGACAATGTCATCTACGTAAATTTGAGCTATAGTAACATGACTTCCAGTGGTTTTAACAAACAAGGTCTTATCAACACTCCCTCGGTTATACCCATGATGCAACAGATACTGTGTCAGATGTTCGTACCATGCCCTTGGAGCTTGCTTGAGCCCATAGAGAGCTTTTCTGAGCTTGTAGACATGCGTCGGATGAACTGGGTCTTCAAAATCCTTTAGGTTGTGCCACATAGATATCTTCATGCAGATGCCCATTCAAGAACGTTGTTTTAACATTCATCTGAAACAGTGTGAATCCCAGAATAGACGCGACTGCCAACAAAATTCTGATTGACTCCAGTCTTGCAACAGGGGCAAACGTTTCATCATAGTCAATTCCCTCTACTTGGGTATATCCTTGAGCAACTAATCGAGCTTTGTTTCTTGCAATATTTCCGGCTTCATTAGTTTTATTTTTGAAGATCCACTTTGTTCCGATTATGTTAACACGCTCAGGTCTTGGTACCAGATCCCACACATGATTTCGGTCAAACTGATGTAGCTCCTCTTGCATAGCCTTAATCCATAGATCATCCTACAAGGCTTTCTTCACATTTTTTGGTTCTATTTTTTAGGTGTAGCAGGCAGATCCGGATATTTCTATCAGATTGATTCTCATCCGACTCCTGGTGTTCATTCCATCTGTTGGATTACCAATTATGTTGTCTGATGGATAATTTTTCTGAGTTCTGGTGGGCTTGTTCTTACCATCACCATTCGAGAGAGGGTTATCCTGTTTAGGGCTTTCTTTATCTTCTTCTGAAGAATCATGTGTGTCAAACAGTTTGGTTTCATCAGCTTTTTTTTACGACTCACTGATAGGGAGATCAGTCTCTGGATCAGTTACCGATGTTTCATCTAATTCTTCTGGATTGTCATTTATAACAACGTTCACTGATTCCATGACTGATTGAGTTTTTTTGTTGTAAACTCGATAAGCTCGACTGTTTGGAGAGTATCCAAGAAAAATGCCCTCATCACTCTTGGGTTCAAACTTTCCTCTTTGTTCCCTATCAATTAGCACAAAGCATCTTGTCTCAAACACATGAAAGTACTTTAAATTTGGCTTCTTCCCTTTCCATATCTCATATGGTGTCTTAGACGTACCTGGTCTGAGATAGACTCTATTCACAGTATGACATGATGTGTGCACTGCTTCAGCCCAGAAACGTTGTGGCAGATGCGATGCGTGTAACATTACTCTAGCCATTTCCTGCAAGGTCCGATTCTTTCTTTCCACCACACCATTCTGTTGAGCTGTTCTGGGAGCTGAGAACTCATGAGTTATTCCATTTTCGGAACAGAAATCTGAGTACAAGGAGTTTTCAAACTCTTTCCCATGATCACTTCTCAGTCTTTGGATTTTTATTATGGGTTCGTCTTTTTGTTTTTGAACTCTTATGAATAGAGTTTTGAATGCATTGAATGCCGCAGATTTTTCCCTCAGAAAGTATACCCAGCTGAACCGAGAGAAGTCATCTACACACACAAAGATATATTTCTTTCCGCCAATGCTTTCAGTCTGAGTTGGTCCCATGAGGTCTATATGAACCAGTTCTAGACATCTCTCAGTAGTGATTACTTTTACTGCTTTGTGAGAAGCCCTTATTTGCTTTCCAATGGCACATGCGCCACAAACTCCTTCCAGTTCTATTTTGAGCTTAGGTATCCCACGAACAGCATCTAATTTGATCATTTTATTCATATCTCTGAAGTTTATGTGACCCAATCATCGATGCCACAGTTTTGATTCGTCTGTTTTAGATATTAGACATGCAGTTTCATTTGTCAGAACATAAAAATTGTCAGAAGATCGTGTTCTTTCCATGACCACTTGATCTGCTTTATCACGGACTCTGCAGCAGTCACGATTGAAGCACACATTCCAATTTTGATCACACAGCTGACTGATGCTAATAAGATTTGCTTTCAGGCCACTGACTAAGAGAACTTCATCCAGATGTGGTAAACCTGGTACATTTAGGGTACCTTTTCCAACTATCTTTTCTTTTTGCCCGTCCCCATACGTAACTGATCCACTGCTAGGTTGAATAGACATGAGACACTTGACATTCCTAGTCATGTGTCTGGAACATCAACTGTCGAAATACCATCTTGCTTCAATCATAGAGGCGGTCAGAACGATTGTGGGATAACATATTACTTCTGATTTCTTGACCCAAACCTGTCTTACGAAGGGAGTAATAGACTTGTTCTGATATTTCTCCTTCCTTTGATCTCTGTAGAAGAAATAACATTCAGGTCGGGTATGTCCTTTTGTTTGACAATAGTGACAGATAAGTACGTATTGTCTAACTTTTACGAACTTAGTCTTGAACCTTGAGTACTGAGACTGTAATTTGATCCTGCCAAATTCAGAGTCAGCAATCCGAGTGTGCATGATCCCTTTCTGTTTTAACTGAGTTGACCGTGATGATTGACTTTGTTCATAACTGTGAATCGGTTTATCAACTGATGTTCCTTCTTTTATAAACATAGGTGCCGTCTTTGAGGACTCTCCTCGTTCAAAACCAAATCCCTTTTTATCATTGGGATTTCAACCAGAATCCAGAATTTTGTCTAAGGTAGAGGTGGTATCCATCATCTTGATTTTCTTTCTTAGATCCTCCAGTTCCTTTATCTATTTTCCCTCTCAGGATCTTATCTAAGTAATAAGATCTTCTTTTAAGACGAGTTCAGTGTTTAGTTTCTTCAGGAGATCATCTCGTTGCTTCAGATCTTCATTCAGACTCTTGTTGACTTTCACCAGTTGTTCCCAACTTCCAACTAGTTTAGCAAATTCCAGTTCCAGTTGTGTTGTCTCTCTTCAAAGTCATCTGATGATATGTAATATTCTTCATCGGTATCATTCTCTTCTGATTGGTTCTCTGTTGTTGTGAAGAAGGCCACGAAGTTTCCCACATTTTCATCAGACTGGTCATTTGTTGCTTCATCATCATCATCACTTAGGGTCGCCACTGACATAGCTTTCTTTCTTTTGATATAAGTTGCACATTCAGATTGTATATGTCCGAATCCTTCACACTCTCGACATTGCACTGATCGGTTTAGAGGTCTAACTGTGTCAGTTGGATTACTCCTGATTTGTCTTGTTCGGACACTCTGAGACTGATTGTTCTGTGAGAAGGAGGGCATTTCTGTTTTCTGATATGAGGAGTTTCCACTTTTGTATTGTGTCCTGTTAGGTTGTCCTTGACTCCTGCGATTGAAGCCATTCAAAATTTTCTTAAAGTTCTTTGTTAGCAAGGCCAAAGCTTCGTCATCTATTTCATCTGTGTAAGATTCTCGATCAGCTTCAGCAACAAAAGCCACTGACTTGCCTTTTCTGCTGGCTACAGGTTCGTCATCAGCTAGCACTTCAAGTTCATAAGTATGTAAACTTTTCATAAGTTCTCCCACACTCTTCTTCTCCCAGCCCGAGTGTTCCTGAATTGCAGTCACCTTCATTCGGAAACGTTTGGGTGGTGATCGAAGGATCTTTTTGACCACTCTTTCATCAGTAAAAGGTTCACCCAAGTACTGAAGCTCTGTTCATC